TCCAACCCAAACTATTCTATGATTCTAACTGAAACCCACATGCTAAGAAAGCCAGTCTGTGGCAGAGACATAGAAAACTTACTTCACTTCAGCAAGATCTTAAGCTTTCAAACAAATTCTTATGAAAAAAGCAGATAAGGTCGTCTAAACAGATAGTAAGTGGCAGAATCATTCTTACCCAGAGTACAAGTTTAAAAAAAAAATAAATTGCCTGTATACATGTAAGATCATCTGTCCTGAATGAATACAAGTTCACCAATGAGTAAGACGATTGCTAATGATATGTAGGATCAGTCTCTTCTATGATTTTATAGTGCTAAATTATAATTTTAAATACATCATTATACCACCTTTTTGACTTTTCGCTTGCATGAAGTATCTCAAACATCTCCAGTTTTATCCAAGTTATTTTATAAATTGCCAATATGTTTACTTTTCTCATTTTAAAGTAAACTGAGTGACGAAAAGGTGATTGATAACAAGAATAATAGTACTATTAAAAATAAGACGACCATTTAATCATGTAAGTAAAAAGTTTACTATTTGATACTCCAAAGCAAAAAAGTTCTTAGACATAACATTCAAACTATCAACAGTAGTTTCATTCCAGGGGAGGATTATTTTCTAACAGTTCTTTCGGGTTCAAAGAAACTACTGAGAACAGTTCAATAATTTATGTCTTGACTGGAAAGCAGTTTAAAAGAAAAACCTAATACATAAAACTGCAAGAGGAACTTTGACTTAATCGGTACCACAAAGTACATATTAAGAAACTGGAAATCACATAAAAGCTGAACTATCATTTTCAGTAAGTTATTCCATTAGGTAAATACATACCTTAAGACTACCAAGATCCAGAAGTAGTAAATTTGACATACAGTCATAGAATCCTTTTTGTGGAACAATGATGTATGAAGCCATGAGGTTAATTTTGAGGTCAAGAACTTTCTGGGTTTCAATAACATACAACAAACCTGAAAAATAATATAATTAGTAAATAAAAAGTAATACAGAAGCTATGGAATTAAAAGAAGCTATAAAAAGAAATTCAAGCCTAACTTTAAATGAGCTGTGTTGCTAGATAACTACATTTAATTACAGGTACAGATGCTCTTCAGATTTCTTCTGAACGAATAATTATAGGCAGTCTTTAAAGAAGGACCAAGTAGACGAAATTATGATAGCAAACACTGGTAATGGACAAGTAGAGACAGTAACATGACATATGCAAATCCAAAAAAGTTTCATGCTGAGCAGAGATTTAATGAGAAGAACTGGAATGTGTACTGCAACTTGGCAATTGCTGAGGTAACCCCTTGTGCTCTGAGGATTCAGAAATTTAATTGAATGCTTCCAGGGATGGGGCATCCACAACCTCTCTGGGCAACCTGTTCCAGTGCCTCACCATCCTCATTGTAAAAAATTTCCTCCTTATATCCAGTCTAAATCTACCCCCCTTTACTTTAAAACCATAACACCTTGTCTATTTGCAACACCTTGTCTATATCCAATGAGGAATTTCTTCCTTACATCTAATCTAAATCGACCCTCCTTCAGCTTAAAGCCATTACCCCTTGTCCTGTCACTCCATGCCCTTGTAAACGGTTCCTCTCCAGCTTTCCTGTAGGTCCCCTTTCAGGTACTGGAAGGCTGCTATAAGGTCTCCCTGGAGTCCTCCCTTCTCCAGGCTGAACAAGCCCGACTCTCTCAGCCTGTCCTCATAGGAGAGGTGCTCCAGCCCTCTGATCAGCTTTGTGGCCTCCTCTGGACTCACTCCAACAGTACCATGTCTTTCCTGTACAGCGGACTCTGGGGCTGGACGCA